ATCACTGTGCAGGACGCTGGGGACAGTGGTGGCACACAGCTGTTCACGACACGAACTCTGAGCCTGTGCCATGAACACGGCCTGTGAGGGCTTAGATCTCTCTAGCATCTCTAGGGCCTCCACCATGAAAACTTCTTTCCTTGACTTGTCTGTGCCAACAGAAGTGTCTCAGAGGATAATCCCAAGAAGCCTCCGGGGCCCCGCTCAGAGGTTATGGAGAACATGCAAGAGGCTTTTCTTTCCGTTGACTTTAATAGTTGTATCACCAGAACACACCGGGCCAGATTCAACAAGGATCATTATCGCAGGTGATGCCGGGGGTGGTTATATCATCTAAATTTCTTTCAGATGAATGACAAACCACCAAACAGATGTTCTTGTTAAGGTCTTGGATACATTAATGCTCTTCTCTCTTTGGATGATCAGTGACTAAGTGGCCACTGGCACCGTGCTGAAAGGGACTCACAAGGCTCACGAACTCTCCTCCAGCTCCCCTCCCCTGCCACGTGTGGGCTGGCATCTCTCAGAGCCACCAGCTCCTCAAACTCTGGCTCTCCCAACTTGGGCTAGACACCTGTCCATTTCCTGTCTCTGCTTGTCAGCGTCTGTCCTGTCAGGTCACAGGCCCTGTGGTGAGAGAATGCTTCTGGGGAGGGATAGGCATTCAGCTATCACACCGGCGCTGCCGATACCTTGTGAGTGACTTGTGAGTTCTCTGCTGAGGACTGTCTAATTACCACCACCACCACCACCACCACCAAAAAACCCCACAATAAAACAAAACAAACAAAAAACAATAACAACAAAAACACCCCCCCTCCCCGAGCTACCATTCGACAACAGACAAAGAACTTTGTTCTTAATCGTTTCTCTTCATCTGGCTTTGCTCATTCTACCCATTGCATCACCAGAGTATTATTCTGATCTTTCCTCCCGCAGGAGGATTTGTTTAAGAACCAAGATTTATATGACTGGACAGCTCTCCCAAAGCCTAGTAAATAATTTTGTATATCTGGCATCCTGAGTAATCACAGCTTTGGGGTCAAGGTTGGAATTTTACCAATGTAATCAGAAGCTGGCATTTCCCACATGTGTTTTGAGACTTTATAGACAAGGGGCACTGAAGTGAATAAAATAACTATCAGAGAAGTGATCCAAAATGTTAGCAGTGCTTTCAAAGAAATAGAAAAATAAAAAAAAAAACCTGCACACCTTCTTAAATTTAACCACGATTTGCAGCGTTCTCTACAGAAACTGGAGGTCAAGCTCCAGACGTAAGAGCCGTAACATTTCTGGAAAAGACATCCAAAAATGTGCTTTTGATGACTCTGTGTTGACCGTACACTGGAGAAATAGATCCAAATCGATCCGTCTTACCTTAACTTCTGGACTGGGAACACTGGGTTCCGTGTGTGCCAGCGACTTTCAGCCGGAGTGCCGCAGGAGTCTTTAAAACATGCAGTACCCGATCATCTAGCCAGAGGCACTGACCTCTTTTCTCTGAGACTGTCAAATTAAAAAAGGACAGCAGCCAACACAACAACAGCTGTCCGGTGTGAACGGATCAAAATTATACCTATTTTTTTTTTTTTTGTCAGTTCGACAAAATAGTTATTTTTTGGTGTGCCGCAGAATTTTAGTGATCAGTTTCTGTGTGCCATGAGATGAAAAAGGTTACACATCACTGATATGCACAGGGGGTGTATGTGTGTGTGTTAATGATGTCTGAGAGCAAAAATGAAAAATCCCTTTTTATTGGCGGGATATTTTTAGGAGCAGGCTGCTGGGGGTGCAGCTCCTGTGGGCACCAGGAGGCCCCCTCCAGCCACCCCCTCCCAGGGTTCAGAGGCAGAAACAGAAGCCCCACTGACCACGCGTCTGTCTGACCTTTCTTGAAGGTGCAAAGAGACTATTTTTCTTAACAGAAGGAAGCAGAATTCGATGTGAAATATTCTTGCTTTTTGACAAAGAATAACTGTCTGTTAAGGAGAATGTCACTGTCAAATTCCCTTTTATTCTGAAAACCAATCTCTTTGGAGAAAAAGCGAGCAGCCTCCCTGAAAAGATGGACCCAAACCTTCAAAGGACACATTTAATTCGTACTTGAATAATCTGCTCTGCGAAATGTCACTGGAATAAAAAGGTCCTTAGGCTGGGCCTCGGCCGCCAGGAGCGCGGCCCTGTCTCATTCTTCTACGCCAGCTGCCGACCGTGAGCAAGCGCCTCCTTCCTGTTCGGAAAGAGCGGCGGCGAGTGAATGACTGGCCCTCCTCTCTCCTGCGTCCGCTGCGTGGAGACCTCTGAGCCGGTGCTTCGGACACTGGCTCTTTCCCTGCTGTGGGACATAAACGTACTCCAGCACGTGAGCTGAGCGACAGTATAATGACCTACTGTAAAATACTCTGGGAACAAGAGAAAAATCTAACCCTTGGATTCTTAATGTTTCACATGAGCATTTTTTTCTTTTCCTAAAGGATCCTCATGGGGAGCAAAGTTCCCCGGAAATACAAGAAAGTGCTTCTTGTTACTGTCCGCGTTTTAAAAAGGGTTTCTCCTCATTTCCATTCCAAAAAGGAAAAGAAGGCACCTCCTCTGCACGGCCCAGCCCTGCACTTCTGTCCCCGAGGTGACTGAAGGGGTGCTGGGTTTCTCGGCGGGATGCAGCTGGCCACAGGCAGAGACCCACGGGGAGCAAGTTGCCATGCGGGGAGATTAGACAGGGACGAAGGATGCTCACCACACAATGGAAGGTAATAGAGTTCCCAGCCGCGTCCTTTCATCTGGGCCACTATGACTAGTTCATTACTCCTTCAATGCCCTGTGACATTTTTCTGGTATTTATGACTGTCAACCTCCCTCTCGAATTGTGCGCATTTACCTTGATGTATTTCTTATCTGGAGGTGAAGCAGCATCTGCAATCCCAAGGAGGGATTTGCTCTTCAAGAGTGACACCGGGGTGAGCAGGAAAGGTGGGAGGGGTGGTCTGACTTCTTGGCAGCAAAACGAAAAGGACGTTCTTCAGGCCAGGCTGGTGAGCAGCCACTAGACGCTAGATGGAGTCCAGCCTGTCCGTAAGCCCTGGCATGCGTCACCCGTGACTGCACGGACGGCGACCTCTCCTAAGTCCCTCGTCATCTGACTTCGATGAAATGCTTTTATCTTACAAAAGTCTGCCATCCATAAACTTTTTTTGGAAATTGATAAGGTTGAGGACCCTGTGAGCAAGCTAGAAAAACAGAATGTCCTCTCTCTTGGCTCTGATTTTGGTTTTAATAGGGATGGGCCCCCTTGGGACCTGGGGAGGTGAAAGGGCAGTCTGTCCTCAGTCACACAGAAAAGTGAAATCAGAGGGCCGTCAGGAACTTGGGCTGCTTCTCTTTAACAAGTACTCAGGGCAATCATAAGATAAGATGACACTGGCATAAAGAAGCCACCCAGAAAGACGCGGCAGCATTTTCTGCTACGAAAAAGCAGGGAGGCCTGCCGTCGGCTCTGAGTGGCTGTTAAGGATATGGGCCGGCAAATTGGGTGTGGAACTCTGAGCACAACTGGAATAAGGAGACACAGCCTCTGGGAAGGACATGGGCCGGCTGCCTCTGCAGAAAACCTGGGCTTTGTCTTGCAGGGACTGCAGGGCAAGCCTGTGGTGAGCAGCCCCTGCACACAGCTCGGAAAACTGAGCCTCCAGCTCCTGTTCCGTGTTTTAAAAGTGAAGTGACCTTCAGCCTCAGGTCCTTGGAAAGGAGGGAGTAACATGTGTGGCTTCACAGGCGATTGTTAGGAGTATGATGATGCAGTTAAGGCTTTTAGCACAGCGCTTGCACATTGCAAACATTCAAAAATTAGAAGCCGTTATTATTAATAGTAATAAGTGGAAGGTATTCTGCAGCCACGTATGAACAGAGTGATGCTGTGAGGGCAGGGATAACAAATACAGCTAATTTCAGGCTACACAACAAAAGGAACGGAACCTACCAAAAACAGGAGACAAGAGGCAGCCCTATTTGCCCCAAATTCCTTTGTTGCCCCCAAACTCTGGGGCTTGTCTCCCAGTTGCTGTAAGACTCAAGAAGTGTCTTTCAGAGCCGGAGAGGCCTCCGGAGTCCTGCCTTCTACAGCCATGTGCTCACCATCTGATCACAGACCCTTCCTTTACAAAATCGCAAGGGGAAGAAGTTAAAACACATATACACAAAACAGTTGATTCAATAAAGAGCTTTTGGTGGGTGTTCATTCCAGATAATAAACCAAGCAAAATGTCTGGCTGTGTTTAAAATCAACAAAACCAGCAGGAAAGGCAGAAAGAAGGGAAGGGAGTGATCGGCTTGTTTTGAAAGCTGCCAACAGTGCTGCTTTGGCTGGGGCCCTGGTGCCGAGGGGCCCCCAGGAGAGCAGAAAGGAGACACATTCAGACAGGACGGAAGCCGAGGACAGGGGAGGAGGGGGTCCTAGGCCTAATGGGATGCAGATGTGGCCTGTGGGAAGCTTTCTCAAGGTTTCTGGGCCTCTTTGGGAGCTCAGACCTAGGAGGCCAGTGGGTATGGAGGACTCAGAGCTAAGCCCAGTGCCTCCCCACCAGATGGTGAATCTGATAATAATGCCTATATTTATTGATCACTGTGCTGTGAGCCAGCCTGTTTTAAGCTCTTTGCACGTGTTATTATTCCCATTTTATAGGTGAGGAAACAGGCTCAGAGAGGCATTGGGACTTGCCCACGGCTGCTAAGGGAGACACCTCTGCCTCGTTCTTGAGTCCCAGCTCTTTAACACAGAGCTACACTGCCTTTGGCCGGGAAGGACAGAGTGGCAAAGCATGCTAACCAGCCGCCTGGAATCTGGGAACTGCAGACTGGGGAGGAAGGGAGGCTCAAAGTGCGCGGTCATGAGTTCAAGTCCAACTGATGTCTAGGAAATGCCAACCATAATGTCACCAGATGAAAGGACTTTCTGCCCAGTTCCCACATGCAGCGGGGGTCCCGCCCGGCCTGGCCCGCCGTACCGATGGTGCAGTGCTCGCCGTTCCAGCCGGGGCTGCATTCACACTTGCCGTCGCGGCAGGTCCCGTGCTCGGCACAGCGCGGGTGGCACGCCCGCTGGTCACAGGCTGCCCCCATCCAGCCATCCTCGCAGCGGCAGGTGCCCCCCACGCACACGCCGTGGCCACCACAGTCGGCAGCACAGATCTCTGTGGGGAGGGTGGGGGGGGGGAACGGCAGGGCCGGAAGGGGTGGGAGTGGGGGAGAGAGAAAAAACAAGCATTGAGCACATTGTTGGGACAGAGGTCACACTTGGCTACCTTCCTTGGCGTCTGTGAGCCTCCGGGATTCCAGGGGCTTGAGAAGCTAAGCTCTGCGGACAATGACCCCGGGACAAGAATAATTCTCTGGGCGGAAGCCTGACCCGAGCCCATTCTTCACCAGAATAGGATGGCTGGAAGGACTCTGCTCTGTTCCTCCCTGTTGCCAGCCTGTCCCCACGTCTGCGCTTGCCACTTCCAAAGGGGACCGTCCTGCTGAACAGATGTGAGGGAAAGTCAAATTTAATTAAAAATCAGCTATGTGTGAACACACAATGAGGATGATACCCCATCGCCAAGAGAAGTGCCTGCGGGTCTGGCTGGGGCGTGCGGGGGCTCGGGCCTGCCTTGTGTTCCAGCTTTGACTCTGATTGACGGGGTGAGAGGAAGCCTGGACCCTGCCCTGCTCGTGGACTCCAGGTGGTGGTTTTGTGCTTTTACTGGGTTTACGCTCCGTGGGTCATCCCTGCAATTCCAAGCACCTAAGTGGCCTTTCTGCTCCAACGTGAATAGATAGGGGTGCACTCCACGGGCAGGGTGGAGTTGCCCGGCCCTTCACAAACACCCGCATGACCCGATTTCCAAGCTGCTCGGGCTTGGGGTTGCACAGCTTCCAGGTTATTCAGGTGGAGGCTGTGGAGGCTCCCGACAGCCTGGTGGAGCAGCCTGGCCACGGTGCTCTCTGCAGGGCTCCAGTGCAGATCCCGACTCGGTTCTGTGCCTAGCAGCCCAGCCATCCTCAAATGAAAATCCCCATACCTTTGATTTCTTTCAAACTATATTAATTGGCACCTGTGTCAAACTGCATTTGCCCATTACTAATCCCTTCTAAGCTACTAATTGTTTAGCTTCTTTGGAAAAAGGGAAGAAAATAAAATTAGATCTTAGAGGCGCAGACTTTTCTTATGACTCCACAAGGCAATGGCTAAAATGTTCAAGAATTTAAAAAACAATGACCATGAGTTACCACGTACAGTGTGTTCCCATGCCAGACGCCTTGACACGCATGCTGCCTGGGACGGGGGAGGCAGTAACACACTGGGTTTCTCAGCTGCCCGGCGGAGAGGGGGCTGCTGTAAAATGGGCTCAGGAGCTTCTGAGCTGTGTGGCCTTGGCCAGGTTCCCCAGCTTCTCCGACGTGCTGAGCGTGGGCAGAAATGAGGCTGCCTCTCAGCACCTGCGCTGACCATCAGGGCTGCGGTGAGCACTCAGTGAAATGACAGAAAGGGTGTGACAAAGGTCACCAACCCAAGAAACTCGGGACCAGGTTTGCAAGATCTGTGCCTGCTCAGCCACTAATCTGCTACGTGCCCTTCGGAAGGTCACGTCCCCACTCTGGGTGTCCGTTTCATCCACTGCAGGGTGAACCTGGTGGCATCAAAGGTCCCTTCCGGCTCTTGGACTGTGAACGTCTATGGTGTAGGACCCTCCATGTGACAGAGCATTACCTACCCCCAGGCGCAGCTCAAGTGTCCCTGCTGAGGGGTCTCCTGCAATCCAGCCTGTGGTTTTCCTATGGCTCCTGGCCTTCCCATACTACATGGTAGAGCGATTTTCTATTTCTGTGTCTGTCTCACTATCAGACAAGGGACACCCGAGGCTGGATCGAATTCTTCTAATCAGTTCTGTGCCTGATACCCAACACAGATCTTGGCACAGAACCAACCCTTAATTAAGGCTTGTTGGCTAATGGATGAATATGTGTGCCTGGGGCGAGGGGTGCCCGAGAATGTAAAACAGTTTACAAACACCCTGCTCAGCCTGGGTAAAAACCAGTCCAGGACTATTTGCCTACTCATCTCTAGCGAGCTGCCCTTGCAGAAACTTCCCAGCAGCCCTCCTGGGACGGGGCTTTCTCAGGATGCTCTTCAGGTTTCTTTCCCTCCTTCGCACAGTGATCTCCAGGCCCAAGGCCTCCCACGTCCTGTTTCTGAAGTTCCATCCCTTCTGCACAGAGCGGCACAGGCCCTGGCCCCTGGTGATGTTGGAGGCTGAGCTGGCACTCGGGGCTGGAACTTCCCGAGAGACCGGCAGGGAAGATTAGCGTGGCACCTGTTGGGTGTACTCAGCACTACTCCCAGGCAGTGGTTCACGGTAGCAGTGAGGTGTGAGCCAGCAGGGGGCAGGCTGCTGGGCCACAGCCCTGGTGATTAGGCAGCAGGGTGTGCAGAGCTGATGGGGCAGACAGGAGAAGAGGCAGGCTTTCCCCCAACTTGACTGTCTGACTTCATGTCTTAGCCAACGGGTAGTTCATCCCCTTATTAATTATTCTGGAAGCAGAGCATCTGATCTGGAATCAGATGTGGCTCCAAATACCAGTTCTGCCAGTCCTCTGACCTCAGGCAACCTATGCAGCTGCCCTGGGCTTCACTGTCTTCCTCTGTAAAATGGGACGATGAGAGTACCCACTCCAGAGGGCGCCGAGTTTCTGATAGGTAGCAGGTATCCATCAATTCATACTGACTCACTTGTTCTTCCAATAACATTCCAAGCCCCCATGCAGCAGAGACTGCGCCTGGTGCTAGGAATCCAGGTCAGTAAGACATGGTCCCCGCCCTCCAGATCAAACCCAGACAGAGCGCAGGCTGATCCTGGAATTACAAGATGAATCAAATACTCTACAGCTGTTACTTACTTCTGCACCTTTTTGCTTATGTGCAATGAATAAAAACCACGAACATTAGGAGCAGATTTGGGGTTTACCGTTGCTTGGCTTTGCCACTCACTGGTTGGGTAACCTGCAAGCGGTAAGTTATGAAATCCATTGAGCCTTGCTTTCCACTTTTGTAAAATGGGAATAATAATTCCCACTTCATCCATCTCACAGGGCTGGTGTTAGATCAAATGAGGTATGTGTAGGAAAGTTGTTTTTGGCTTAATAACTGACACGTATTCGGGTTTTACCGTTTACAAAGCACCCTTCACGCTTTGTAACCGTAACAACATGTAACTGTCACAGCAGTGCCGTGGGGACACCTGGCTGTTGTCTTTCCTAGAGGTGAGGCTGCCGAGACGCAGACAGCACAAGGGACTTCTACAAGGCCAGGGTCACCTGGTGCTACCTCCTCACTTGGACGTCCTCAGAGCAGTGCTGCAAGACAGACCTTTTCCAGAGGAGGGAACGGATAGGCCAAGGAGCAGCCTTTCCTTTGAGAGGGGCTTCTGGCTCTTCAAGCACAGCTCCCCCCTTTTCTGGCCCTGTTGCCGATCCTCTGTGACACCCAAGTCTGACCCTGGGTAGAAGTGAAATGAAATGAGATCCTCTAGGCAGTTTCCCCGATGCTCGGTCTCACTGTCTGCGGGCACCCCCTCAGCCTTTTACAAGCTGGGTTGTGAGCTCTTACACATGTTAATGGAAGGGGCCTGGACAGGGTGACCTTGATGTTTATGGGGTGCTAACTGATGGCCACACCACCTCCGTCCAGGTTCTCCTCTGCCTGAGTGGCCGAGACCCACAGACTCATTCATCTCAGAAGCTTGAGATGCTTCTTTATCATTTGTCCTCAAGTTGTGGGCACTAGATCCATATTTTCTCTTCTTGAAATAAAAGAAATTCCTTTATTTTTCCTTTTCAATTCTGCTTTGACATGAAAGCAAACAGAACTTCCCAGGGTGGAGGGTGAAAATCAAATAGCATGATGCTAAAGAATGTGCTTCCTGCCCTGCCTGGTTTGGTTCAGTGGTTAGAGCGTCGGCCTGCGGACCAATGAGTCGTGGGTTCGATTCTGGTCAAGGACAGGTACCTCAGTTGCGGTTTGTCCCCGGCCATGGTTGGGGTCATGCAGGAGGCAACTAATCCATGTGTCCCCCTCACGTCGATGTTTCTCTCTCTCTCCCTCTATCTGAAGATAAATAGAAAAATATCCCTGGGTGAGGATTAAAAAAAAAGAAAGTGCTTCCACAGCTCGTACGTCCCTTACATAATGCAAGCGGTCCTTTGTGAAAGATGGGTCACGCTCCTCTCCAGGTCTTGCCTCCTCACATGTAAACTGGGGATGCCACCTCCTGCTGTCGAGATTTGTGGGGATCACGCCCATTTGTTTAATTTCGTGAGTGCTCACTAATTCGGGCGCCGGGGAGCCAAGGGTGACTCCGACACTGGTGGTTCTTCCCTGACCTCGAGGAGCTGACATTCTAGCGTGGCAGGCAGACACAAGCTCAATCAAGTAAAGCAGTGAAGCTTCCAGCCTAGTGCCTGGCACATGGTCAGGACGTGATCAATTGTGCACACACATTCTTGTGAGACAGGAAATGAGGTGGAGTGGCAAGTGTACCAGACAGAAGTCAGAGGGTCAGATGTGAATTCCGGCTTATGCAACACGCCCCGTACACGTGAGCATGGGATCAATGCTAGCTGACTTCCACTTGACTGACATCTGAAGGGTGAGGGCCGGAGGACTCTTCTGAAGTAGCACAGTGTACACAATCCACAGGGTAGGCTTTGGTTCAGATTCTGACTCCCCAAGTTCCCTGGGTCCCTGTGGAGTCCTTGAGAGAACTGCTTCATCTCTCTGAGCCATACTTCTTCACCCCCAAATGGGGGAGGTAATAGTGGTCCCACATAGGGTGAATGGTGAAGGAAGTACATGGGAAAAGCTCTATGTTATGTACACGACTGATTGATGAGGACCTGAGACATCCCATATCAGCAAAACTCCTCGTCATCTAGCAGAGAAGCCTCTTCCTGAAGAGCAAAATACTTGCTTTTATAGTAGTAGCCTCAAAATTTGAATAGTAAGCCCCTTTTCTGGTCACCTAGCATGGTACTGTTAGCCAAGACCTTCAACACCCAGTGAGAAGCATTTATTTATTTATTTATTTATTCATTCATTCATTCCTCACCCGAGGACATTTTCGCAGTCATCTTCAGATAGAGCAGGAGAGAGAGA